AAACAGCTCTGAAACATCCTCTGGTATCATGGGATCTTAAGCAGTAGCTTACTGTTTACAAAGAAAGAGCTACACCGAGTAGAAGCCAAACCAGCGTCTCTGCAGGGAAGTGGCAGGAAGAATGGGTTAGGAAAAGGTGTGCTTTCCCAGGGCTGGTGTCTGATGCTGACAGCCTAGGTGCTGGAGTTTAAAATCTGTTTCTACCCCTGAGATGCTGGTGGGCACTGAGCAAATCACTGGACCTGCCTTGTAATATAAGGGGGTTTTTAATCTTTCCTGCTTTTCAAGAAGGTGACTGAACTTACTCAAAGTACCTTCAGAACATCAAGTGAAAGGTGCTAGAAAAAATACCATTAAGAGTAGGAAGTCTTGACAAACGAACTCCAGCCTTCACCACATACATTACTCTGAAAGAAGATAATAACTTTGAGCTAAAAAGTTGACAAGGATTTATCTTTCTCCCTTGTGAAGCATAGCTTTCTAGCAGCCTTATCCTTCTCCACATTACCAAGGCTTCTGTAACCTCATTTCAAACACATAGTAAGGCATCCCAAATCCTCACACTTTTATAGAAACTGGCAATGTAGGAAGCTTATTAAAACAAAAAAAAAAAGTCCTGCTGCAAAGATGGCATAGAAAAGTAATCAGCAATTGAATTCAATTTACAGCTCCCAGATCATGCAGCCTCCCTGATTCATCCAAGCCACTCCACTTTATCAGAACTGCCAGCATCACTCTGAGACAGCGCGTAATAAAATATGGAAAATGTGTTCAAAATGTGCGACCTCAGTGATGCAATGAACTGACATGAAAAACACTTTTTTCCCACTGTGAAATGCCATGATGCGGCCGCATTAGCTTGGAAGCAGACATATATTGCTTCTGCTACTGCCACTGCTTCTGCCATACGTGGTTTGTGTACAGAGGACTTCAGGGCTCAGGGGATACACACTCAGCCTCCTTGACCAGCACAAAATGCAAAGCTTCTTCTGGCTATAGTCCTGAGTAATATGGGATGGAATCACTCTTCTGCATCTAAAGGATGAAGTGCTGTGAGGTAACACTCTTCTGCGCTCCTTCTGCCCTCATAGTGGGGCAGAAAAATGGTTACCCATGAGTCAGACCTTTGCAGATGCAGGAGCTTCAGCAGCACGGCTGCTGCAGCAAGACCAGATGACACTACTTTCATGCAACACAGTCTTGCGGATACAGGTCTAGTTGTACCTGTCACTGACCAAGTCTGAACTTTTGCTATTCTCATTGCAACTCTAGTGTTTCTGTGTTTGCCAAATAATAAATAAAGCTTTTCTGTTCTTTCCCCTAATTTAGTATAGAGCCTGGGTACTAAAATAAAACCCATTAAACTGGTTACAGTTATTCATTTGAATAGTAATGCTGCAGCTACAAATTTAGTTCAAGGCACTGCAATCTTGCTCCATTTCATGGCTGTAACATGGCATGGAAAGAGAATACTGCAGCATATCTCCTAATGGCTCCAAAGCACTAGCAGTGCCTGCAGAACTAAGTAATGCTGCATCTAGTATCTGCAGCAGGAGAGAAACACAGAATAATTCAGTTTGGAAGGGACATCTCTGCTAAGGCCTCTAGTCCAAACTGTCTTCAAAACAGCACCAGCTTCAAAGTCAGGCCAGGGAGGCAGAGTGTCAAGAATAATCACTTTCACCTGCCATAACTGGGCAAGACAGAAATGAAATACTTGTTTGTGTGGATTAAATGAAGCATTTCTAAGAACTGATAGGGAATAAAATTACCAGCCAATATAACAGATCCCACAGCAAGGAACTGATGACGAAGGGTTGGCCCTAGCACCTCATATTTGCTACTTCATTGACACGTTTTGCTTTTCTGAAGCTTAGATGCGCCAGGCATGCAGCTGACATTTTAAAAGTCAAATTAAAGGGTAAATCATTTCAGAGAAGGTCTTACTTTTAAATACCCTTGAGTTTTCTCCTAGAGCAAACTCTAGCTGAAGCCAACCAAGGCCACCAGGCTGCAGACTAATTTGCAGCTCTCCTAGCCACGGGCTTTTGAACTGCTATATTTGATTCACTGGCCAGAACAGAATAAGGCATAGTGGTTAACATGCCAGTGAGTCAATGGAAACACAGCTAAAATTGCAGCTCTCAGCACTGGCAACATCAGTGGAATTATCTGGTTTTGGAGCAACAGTGTGAAATGTTGGTGAAACAAGTCGCATGTAGCCTCAGCTTTGCTCCATGAAGCAAGCAGCTGTGAAGTGCAGAGCTGAATGAGCATTACTCAGAAACAAAAGTCATATACGTACACGATTCTCTCTTTTTGACCTCTGCAGGAATTTTCAAATCACAGTTCCTCCCACTCACAAATACCACCCTTCTCCAAGGTGACTAAAAACCATCATGTCCCTCCTGTAAGAAATTCTGCTCTCTTCTGTTTTTATTCAGCATCAGAACGAAGCAAGAAATTTAATATTAAAAATTCCCAGAAAGCACTAGATCCAGAAACACAAAACTGGAGATTCCCAAGCAGTCCCTGGTCAGGACATGTCTGCACTGCCATGACTGTTACAGGGAGTTGTGGTTCCACATCTCTCTTGTTCACTATCTTCCCTGCACAGCTTTTTCCCCAGCCAAACCACTTCTTGATCACAGCGCAGCATGGCAGCACCACCCTATCCAGCTGACTGGGATCAGGCAGAGTAGACTGTATGTAGGAAGTGACAACAGACACTGCGAAGCTTCACACGCATGTCAAAGGTAGGCAAAGGCAGACTGTGCCCTACTCTCCACAGAGTCCTCCTCCCTCTTCTTGTCCCTTCTTGCCCCTGATTTTCTGTGGGTTATGTGAGGACTTCCTTCCCAGGACTGGTGCTTAAAAAGGGTTATGCGAGGTCAAGACCATATATATATGATAATGTGGTGTTTCCGGCTGAAACGTCTTCCAGAATGCCTCTCAGGCATATACAGCAGTGTGCAGTGTTCCCAGATGTTGAATACGTGTCTAAGGAAGCAAGAGGCAAAAAACATGCACTATTCACTTAGCTGAAAAACTGAAGTGAGGTTGTGCAGTTCAAGTCTGCACTCCAGTGCCCATTGGATAACTATGGGGGTTTTAATCTTAGATTTCCTCTCTCTTTAGACTTTGTCTACCTGTGTCCCCTACTGTTACCGAAGATCTAGAGGAGAGCAGCTCTAAGGAAAGGGCTGTTCTGCACTGTCTCCATAGCCCTGTTCCCCAGGCATCTGGGGCTGCTACAGCTGGAGGTGAGGCACCCAGCGAGATCAGCAGCTCTCAGCTGCCAGGTTCATGTGGACCTACACTGGCTGTGAGCAGGGACACCCGAGATACTGCTGTGCTGTGCTCCTGGCAAAGAGCTCAACCCCCACTTACAGTTTTGTCAAACAGGGCTCTGCTAAAAGAAAAGCCATTAGCTAAAGGCACAAAAGCGCCTGGTTGGCAAGGCTGAAGGCAGTTTTTGAGATCTGGGGCTGGTTAGCAAAGGGACCTGCCTCCTGGGATGCTCATGCTCCTGCAAAGCAATGACCAGGCATGATAAGTTTGGAGATCCCTAGAGAAGAGCAAGACCATTGTTACCCATCATAGATCTTCTTTCTGAAATCAATAACAGAATAAAAGCTCTGTTTTTTTTTTGTTTGGGGGGGGGGGCATGACCCAAATGGGGAGGAGGGGTAGTGATAGGAGTGGATGAGAAACTTGCAGCAAGAATCGGTCTCTGGATCCTTCACGCTGATTTCACTGGAAGAGACAGGATCTGAATCTGGAGCAGTTCAAGGGTCACACATTTCACTTGTAACACAGCATAGGCAACATACGCATACGTAGACTGTGTCAGACTGACTTTAGACAGTCTTATTATTAAAACATGCTCAAGTCCCACAGTTTCTTACGGGTCAAGTACACAGTGAAGTAAAGCACACTGTTCCATGCTCTCCTGAACAGGATGGTTTCCTTATAAAGAAATTGTCTGAGGATGTGATATACAAACACATTTCCAAGTGGCAAGCCAGGTTTTGAAGTTGCAGCACAGCAGTTCCTCAGCAGTAGCCCCATGTTTCTAGACCACAATAAATGCAAGGTAGCTTAAAGGCCCTTGCTCAAACATTTCAATAGGCTATGGTGACACATGAAGCTTGTGTCATTGTAACTTGCCCGTATGCTTTATTCTCATATTAAAACATCTGCCAAGTCCACAGTTTTATAGTGCTCACACACAGTCATAACAAAATCAGTTCTGAATGGAAGGAGCCGATGCCCTGCTTCGCAGGGTGGGCTCTTTCCATGCCAAGCCAAAGTCTCAGTCATTCGGGCTCCACCTCCCCTCCAACCAAACCAAACAAAAATGTCTCAAGGATTTTTTACAGCAGGAGCAGTGAATTCCCCCACCTTGCCCAATTCCCTTCTTTCTAGGGACTGGCAGAATCATGTCACACGTACTTAAGGAAAAGAGGGTGGGGAGATACACATATGATCATATTTTGTTGCATGTTACTGATGATGGAAAAATGGCAACTTCAGATAGAGCTTTAATTAAATTAAATTAAATTAAATTAAATTCTATTAAATACAATAGAAACTATATTCATTATATTAAATTACATTTAAATATTGTAATAGATATCTACTAAATTTTAATAGTATTTTAAAAAATTAATTGCTGTCTTCAGGATAAAAGTGGGATGCCTGTGACAGTTGTACTACAATGTGTATCTTGTGTATACAGTAGCTCCGCAGCAAGGGATCACAGATGGTTTGTGGTGGTGGGAAGACCCTGCTTTTAGGGCCTGCAGACTTACTGTTCTTGCAGAATTCCACCTTAAAAGTAATTGGACGTGTCTGTAACTCAGAGAAGGTTTGCTAAGCAATGACACATTGCACTTGGATCTGGAAGCATAACATCTGGAAGCCAAATGTTAGAGGCGATATAAAAGGGCCAGCCCGACAAACCAGTGGGGCATTTCTAAGCCAGGAACATCCTCAGGATGGACCTCGTCCTTCTCTGTGTGTTCCTGCCTCTGGTGACTGTGGCATGGGGCCAGTATGGCGACTATTACTACGGTCCCTATAACTATGGAGATAATGATGAATGGGTCAATGTGTACCGGCAGGGTTTCAACTTCCAGTGCCCTCACGGGCAGGTCATCGTGGCCGTCAGGAGTGTTTTCAGCAAGAAGGAAGGCTCCGACAGACTGTGGAACTACGCCTGCATGCCGGCAGCCCAGAGCCTCGGTGAGCCGACAGAGTGCTGGTGGGAAGAGATCAACAGGGCGGGAACCGAATGGTAGGATACCCCCAACCATCCCTGGAGGGCGCAGCCCTGATACCCTCTGTGGAATGCGGGTGCTAATACTGCAGTCAGAGCAATGCAAACGCATATTAATGACATCATAACCAGCGGCTTCACTGCCCTGAACAGCTGCCTGAGACTTATCAATCGTCCTGCATGTGTGTGAGGCGATCAGCATCACGTTTGCCTTCTCTGTAGCAGTTTCTTGCTGGAGGGTCTCAGTGTGCGTTAGAAATGCTGTGCAGTTTGGTCACTCACAGCCTCAGCTGCAAAGTGGTTTGGTCTTGCTACTGTTGTTTCACAGATGAGGAAAATGAGGCATGAACCTTCAGTGAGGAGAGGATAAGGTCCCTCTTGAAAGGCCACACTCTGAATCAGTGACTAGACTGGGGAAAAAATTGTAAAACTCCTCACTCCGACATTCTGCTCTTGTCACCAGAAAAAAAAAAAAAATTCATCTCTGTATTGCACTGGCTTTTCTCTTTGTGTTTTTGTTGCTAAGCTTTTTGGCTTAGGCCCAGTCAAAGGCTGTTTTCTAGTCATACTGGTATTACAGGAGCCAAAAATCCACACTAACAAGCAATGATGGTGACATATATATGCATGATAATGATAGCAGAAGATCATGTTAATCCCCTAATATAGTCAGTTTTGGTTAACTAAACGTTACATCTTCCATCAACCTTCAAGGCAAAAGTGATCACGCTTTATGGCTACAATAATTTCTGGAAACATGTAGTGTTTCACTTTTAGGCAGCACATACCCAGTATTTACTTATTCTCTGAATTTTTCACAAAACATGAAACATAGCTTTGAAAAACTGAATTTGAAATATTCTTCGGATAGAATGAAATGAATGCAAGAATATTTCCAAATCCTTGAAATGGTTTTGCTCCAGGAATTGCAATGTGATTTTCGTAGATTTCACATTATGTGGGAATAGGTTAACAATGAAATGTGAAGCTTCTGCTTTTTAAATGATTCAAAATTTTGTTCTGAATTATTCATACTCTTTCATTTACCACGTGATACACTCCTATGGCTGATGCAATTGCTAGGGAAAAAAAGATTGACCCTATACTTAATTTTGGAATAAGAACTGAAAAGAAAGGGGGAGGGCTGCAAAACTGGCAGAAAGAAGACACTGTAATAATACTGGATGACTTCTTCATTTTTCATACATTGATGCAATTTTGATTTATTGCATAGTAATTTTGAATTAGACCTTACTATTGTTCAAAATAAAATCGTTATTCTCTTTCTAAAAATCGCTGGCAGCAATTGCTGAAATTCTCTTCTCACAAACAAGATACTGTGTAAGTCTATACAGAACATTCTCTTCTGCTGTCTGACCATGGGGCCACATTCATCACCATGCTCTGTATGCTTAGCATGACCACATCCACAGTGTATTATCTGACTCTCATTTCCGTGACCTCTTAAAAAAATCTTTCCATTTTGTCCTCTTTCCTGCCCACATTTTTTCCTATTGCAAACCCTATCTTTTCTCCAAATGTTTTTCTTTTCCAACCTCTCTTTAACATGTTTAACTCTGTTTCACTCTCTTTTCTACCTTTTGGACCTATTATTTCAGTTATTCCTTTCCTAGCTTACGTTTCCAGTCCAACATCCTTACATCCATGTCTTCTCTGCATAGATCTCCTTCTTTCTTTCATCTGTTTTTGAGGAAGAGGGGAATACACCAAAGTGTTTAGGGAATGCATACCCTGTTTCAAAGGTGAATTTGTGCTCCTAATTACTTGGGCTATTTCCACACATCTTAGCTAGCTGTGCCTGGCTGTGTTCTGCAGTTTTCTGCACCCAGTGCTGAGCTTTACTGAGAGACGCTCACTGTAAGCCAGCATGTTCCTCGCTGTGCCCAGACGCTGCTGCCCAAGAACCAGCAGGCTCATCCCAGACTGGAGCGAAAGTGTGGGCCAGCAGGCAGACAGCCTGGAGTGTCTGAGTGCAAACTCAAACCTCAAATTAACGTGACGGCACAGATATAGCCTGTGGGGCCTTTGACAATCCCACACGTTCTCTCTTGGCAGCCTGACTTCTCATAGCTGCCTCTCTTTTCTCTCTCACTTCTATGCCCAGCTCAGTGCTGTTTGTAGTCATTCCCAATTCTAAAGAGATTCACTCAGTAATCAAGAGGGACCGCAAAAATATGAGTCACAGTCTCTGTACCATTAGTTCCTGCTTGACCACCTCTGTTTCCCTGCTGACCTCCTGACAAACCAATCTGTTGGTGAGCAATACGTCATCCTCATGTCAATAGACACAGCACTCCTCTGGACTCGCTAGTCCATTCCCCATCCTGGTAGGATGGACTGCAATATTCCTTCTTCAGCTCTGCCTCACAGGGTATTTTGTCTCACCTTACACATCACATCCAGGGAGATTCAATGGCTTGTACCACCAATAACTACAAAGCTGCCAAGTTTTTCTTAAAATTTAAGCTACATTTCCTCTACTATAACTGAGCCTTTCTATTGCTTACCCTACCTTCAGTGAGTAACGAGAACAAGCAAAATGCATCCTTCGTAAAATCTCTTCAGCTTATTAATTGGTAGCAGCTATGCCCTTCCCTCACCCGCACACTTTCACTCATGCCCTTGCTTTCAGGCTGAACACATCTCTGTTCTCCTAGTTCTCCTTTGGAAGTTTTATATTCCAATGCTCCTCAGCAAGCACTGATCATACATACAGCTGTCCTCTGAATTCCTTCCAGTTTCTCAGCCATGTCCCAGAAAACTGAGTCTGGCAGAAGCACCAAAAACTGACCTCTGACAAATGATGTTTATGGCATTTCACAAATCACCATTCCTGACTGTTGTGCAGCTGCACAACAGAGACAAACCCAAGAGAGATTTCTTCAGAAAAGACAAAAATACAAGAAAAGCTTCAGAGAGAAAATGAAGTGGGAATATAAAGCAGCGAGAAGAAAGGGTCTCCAACTCATTATTTTCTTTGTCTGTTAGCACTGGAGGGGACATGGCAGAAATGGATGTGGGGAGCATAGGGATGGGAGAGCTGGGGGGACTGGAGGGCAGCAGGGAACCACTGCAGAGATGGTTTAGGTAAGATTGCTTCCTACACTAACACCAGGTATTATATGGACTTCTAGAAGTAAACCCGTAAGACTTTGTATCTCACAGATATGAAAAAACTATTCAACAGAAAGAGGGCAATGACACAGATCCACATTAGGCACACAATGCCTAATTGATGACCTCTTCCCCCTTCCAGAGTCAATGGAGAGAAACAGGTACTCTAAAAACTGCCCTCTGGGGCACCCCATCTCTCTCCAGAAGCAGACTCATGCAGACCAATCACCTCTGACAGATGTCCTGAATTACTTACCGGCATCTCAGAATACATCTAACTATAAGTGATTCCCTTAATAAAGGCGTCCCTGAAGTTAAGCATACGTGTACATGCACTTCTGAAGAGAGCATGTTCTTTTATTTTGGGGACATGAGAAACCTGCGAACTTGTTTTAAGACACAGAGAAAATTTTGGCAAGAGATTGTATGAGATGGTCAGTGATGCCTTCCCAGCTTCATTAATCTGTGTATATATTGAAAGTTAAGTATGTGTGCAGAGGCTTTGTTGAATGTGTCCCAACACCTCACTCCTGGCCCTACTGCCTCTGCAGAGGCTACCTGCTAACCAAGATGCTATTCAATACTGCAAGTAGAATTTGTCTCTGGATGATTTGGAAATATTCATGTCTGGAGCAGGGATAAATCTTCAGGACACCCCCTGATTCTACACAGTCCTCCTAATTATTTATATGCTGTGACATCTCAAGGAGTCTTGGCTCTTCAGACAGAATAAAGCTTGTGGTTTTAGCTCTATTTGCACTGGAGGAAGTTTGACCTCATGTAATTATCTCACCACCTAAGAAAATGTAAGATCTGAGTGATTGCAGGTAAGACTGTTCTGAACTGCTTTGACAAATACTACAGTTGTCTGCACAGGCCAGTCTTTGAACAATATACTGAAGAAAAACTATTTTTTCTTGCCTGAAATTACCAAAGGACAGGGATCAAACAAACAAACGAACAAAAGCTTGCAAGTGAAAGGCAAGCAACTCTTCCTTCCAGGAGAAAACGTTTGTTTTACACCACATAATACAGATGGAACTGTGCCATATCCCCAATGTACTTCCAGTTACCCATAAGGCACAAAGCAGAAACATTTCCAGACAAGTGGACATGTTTATTGCCTCTTTTCCATGTTTAGACTTCTGAGAAAGTGTTTGAATGGGACTATGAAAAAACAGATATCTAGATTCTCCCTCCCCACTCCCATTCTCAGTCTCCTTTGCCTTCTCTTTAAGTGCACAAACACACACATGCAGATCCTTCAGGTAGACACGCAACCCTATTTCCCACAAACTGGGCACAAAGACAGACTCATAAGCAAAGGAAGTGTCTGCAGGAGCCTCCTGTTCAGGCGCTGGCAGCACACCCCGGTACATCTGCAAGGAACTGGTTTTGTTCTCAATCTCTGACCAGTGCCAAGTCTCAAATCTGAGGCTGTGTTACCCAAACCCGATAATCAAGCTGCCCTTTCAAAATGTTCCCATTTGTTCTGTCTACGCAAACAAGTTAATTTTCTTCAAAGCCCTAGGTTTGTGTTAAAGGGATAGTGCTACAAGCTATTAGCACAGCTGCAATGGACTGAGTCCAGTGGGAGCATGTGAGGAGAAGAGAGGTGTTTCTCTGGATAGGGAGGCCTCATCAGTGTCCATCAGCAAGAAATCAACAGGGTAATTAGGGCCTTGCTTTCCCTTTGGGCAGGGAGGAGAAAGAAAGTCAGCACTGACCCCTAAATGCAAGAAAAAGATAGCTGAAGATGAGTAAGGTTGCCTTTGGCATGTGGAAGTCACAACAACACATCTCACCACCCCACAACAGATAGTGGAGACTCCTCATAGAAGTGGCCATTGGAGACTGGCATGGCCCTATCAAACACAGAAAAGTCATTCCCTTCATCTGCGTGCCAGTGTTTCAAGTGTCCTCAGCCTGCCCTCAGCCACTTATCTCTCCCCACTCATCTGTAACAGACTGACCATTAAATTAGCTAACCAAACTGCACAGAGGACACTTCACAAAAATAGCTCAGGAGAGCAGGACAGGGCATCCCTTGCATAGCTGTACAAAAAGGAAATTAAGTTTTGGATAGTGCACGTAACTGGTTTTAGTGAAACAACGCTCCAGGAAAACAGTGTATCTATCTAATGTCTTATGAAAAAATGCATCCCACACTCTTTAACTGTGGTCTTCCTGGCTGCGTGAGGTTAGGACACCTCTTTCCATATGCACTGCAGGGAGGACTGTGGATGAAAGCACACAGCGTTACTTCTGTTGGGTCAGTTTGCTATGTCTGACATATCTCCATAATATATACATCCATTCTGTTGTGACAGGCTGGAGAGAGATAGCTTTAAAGTAATTAATGATGCAAGTTTTACAGAAGCCATCTGCTCCACAGCAAAACAGTAGGATTTTTTTGAAGTACATAGCATGACACTCTCGGGTTACCCTCTTATAAGGAACAAATTGCCCTTACTGCAGCATGACCCATTGACTACTGAGCTGTGTGTCAGACTCTGAATGTTTCCAGAGAGCTTTGGGGAGTGCTACCCAGTCAGTGTGGCAGGGGCTCAGCGCGGGCTCTGGCAGCACCACTTCACTGCATCTTGACTTGGGCTTCCCTGAGCATATTTGTAGTGAACAGGCTTCCTCTTTGGATTGTCATCCTCAGGACGGCATGCTGCTCAGGCTAATTCCTGATGTACCTGAGGGACACAGGGCCTCAGAAACAGGTTTACAACACAGCACTAGCATTAAATTGGGCACAACACTCTGGGGCTTTGTCTAGCAAAAAGCAAAATTAAGATGCAGGCATAACTATGAAGTGTCACCACAACTGATGCCATTGCTCAAAACAATTACACTGTTGCAAGCGATATCTGTCTTCAGTCTGGAAGGCAACTGTTGAGTCATTGAGGTACACACTTGCTCACTGAGGCTGGCTGTACCAATGTTTGCAAATAACATGGCACAATTTAAGTGGATCTGTAAGGTGAAACAGTTCCTGCACAGACCCAAAATTCACATGCGAATTTTATTTCAAACCATCTCTGGTTTGATCTCACAGATAAATGCTCATTGGTGACGAAGGAAAGCAGTCCTGACCTGAACTAAACTGATAACATGAATGCACACGTTGGTTGCTTGCCGTGACAGAACTCAGCTGTACAACACTCATGAACCAGATCAGAAGAAGGTTTGGCAAAGGAGAGGCTTTCCACAGCAATTACAGCAGGATGTGAAGAGTCTCAGCTAGCATATCCTTGTTACTGCACGGAACTCCACCCAAAATAAGGCTGTATAGTTACCTACTTTCTATGAAACACCACAGTCATTTCCAACAGATGTAAATGAGGGAAGGGAAGGGTAACTTCCAATTCAACAGCACCTGACCCTCACCACCACCAATCTCCCCACTCTTCCATCTACCAGTAAGCTCACCTCCCCTTCTCCCAGTATCACATCCAAAAGGCAACTCATCATGCGTCGCAACTTGAGCCAACTAGTAAAACAAAACAACCTATCTATTGCCAAGTTTAATCCCACACAGTCCCAGCTGATTTCTCGTGCTCTTCTGCATTCACCTAAAAGGTATCTTCCTCTCTTCTTAGCAATGTCAGGTTGTCATGAGTGAGGGGAACCCAGTGACTTTAATTCTGAATACTGAATTATCCTCTTTAACAAAAGTGCTACAGAGTGGGTCTAGGGAAAGAAGCAATTGTTTTACTTGGCCATAAATCAGAGTTTTTAATCACCATGCTGGTTTGCAGAATCTGCTGTGACAGGGGTAGTGAATTCAACAGAGAAGGAAGAAATCCTCACATATGAAGTGTTGTTTTCAGAGCACATAGTACATCTGACTAAAAAGGTGTGCGGGGAGAGTGGTTGTTTGTTTCCCTTGAGGAACTACTTTCTACTTGTAGGAAAGAGGCCAACTTAGAAAAGGAAAGAGAAGAAAAGATTTTATATGAGCTGACAAATAAGCACTTCAATTTCTAAGAGCATCTCTTCATTTTTGGAGGAATATCTTGATTTGGCTTGACAATTAGACTTGACAATCAGGGGAAAAAAATCTGTGTTATCTCAAAGCTAAAGAAAAGTACTTCAGCGTCACTATTATCCTTCTTTTGCTGAACCCAATACTGAGGTTGAATAACAGACCGCAAGGCTTTGTGCATATGAGACAGAAGTAGAGAGGGAGAAGTGAACATGAGCTTAAAAGTATATTTCAAATTTTACATTGAATGTTTTTAAAGCAAGATGGCAATTTAATTATAAGACATGACTTATGTCCAGTTATACTCTCCAACTAAGTACTTTTTAAGGCAACTCCAAATACTATTTTTTTTAAACAAACTTTTCAAGAGAAGATAGAATCAGGATCAAAAGTAACCAAATCTTCCTAAAGTTTGCATGTAAATATGAGAGTGCTATGTTAGCTAAATTTTTTTCAATCCACCAAAGAGAGAAGGGTCCATCAGTGACATTTCTCTCAAGATATTGTTCCATCAAAACTAGAGTGTATTAGTAGTGGTGTAAAGAAAATATAAACTGTTGTAGGGGAAAGAGAGAGGGAAATTCAGGACTTCTCAGACAGAATGAGAGCAGGTGGGGAAAGAAAAGGAGAAGGAAGAACCTCCCACAAAGACAAGTATGGGCAGGAATATCAGATGCTGATCGGTGGGAATGGGAAATCGCGGGCAAATGCTGAGGATCTGAGAGGAAGTGTAAAGGCAAAGAAGGAACTAAATGTTCCCATTATTGCACCTATGCAAAAGAGCTAGAATATCTCCCAGGAGGACAAGGACTTGAGCAGTGGAAATGCACATAACTGGGAAGGGGGAGAGGCAGAAGACGACGAAGAAACACAGGTTGGGTTCTACTTCACATGGATTAATGCAGAAAAATGCTCATCTTGCAACAGGTATAACTATTCCCTACATTTCTGTGTATCAATCTTTCTTCCATCAGGATAACACCAATCATCTGCAGCTATCCAACATGTTTACACAGAGTCTTAGCCATATGTTCCCCATGGCCTGTGTGTCAAAAAACAGAGCAACTTCCCATCAAAGTCCTGCTCAAATCCTCTGAATGCAAGCCAAACTGCCTTACTTGGTGTGATACCATAGCAACTCAGAGTCTCCATCATTGCTTAACTCTGAAGGTCCTCGAAAGGGTGTCACAAAGCACAGCAAGCATGTGTGGCCCCAGCAACGTGGGAGATGTGGGGATACAAACAAATGTAAATAATCCCGTCTGAACAACAGAATACAGCAGAAGGGACATACGGAAGAGACCCCTGGTTCAAAGGTAGAAGCTGAAAGTCAGGCAGAAGAATTCATCCCTGCATTGGTCAAAACTGATCAGTTTTTCAGCTTTTACATACAAACACTTGAGCCTTATGCTGTGCAAGCACTAACACCTATGTGCACAAGTGAATGACATTCCAAACACCAAACTCTGCTAGAGGATGTGAGAACTCTAGGCTCATTAAAATAAACTATAGGTCATTAAATGAAACTAGGGTAAATGTTGGGTATTTTTTAATCTTAACGTTATTTCTGAAAGTGTCTTTTGGATATATCGATGTATTTGATTTTATGATATTGCAAGGAAGGTTTGCTACAGCTCTAGGCTGCCCATTTTCCTCGATGAAGGAAAAAGAAAAAAAAAAAAGAAAAAGAAAAAGAAAAAGAGAAAAAAAGAAAGGAAATGCGAGAAACGGAATTCCTGTAATTTTTTCCAACAGGGAAACAATAAGGCTAGGAGGGTGCTTGAAAGAATGAGCACTCAACAGCTGAGTTAACGAACTGTCTGTTTTCATGCTCTCCTTGTCTTTAGTCTCCAAGAAGCAAGCTATTCAAACTGATTATCACTTGAATTACTTTGGATATCAGAGTCCAGATGCTTGTAGGGTGCACACAAAGAGAAGTATATATCTGCATGCTTAGAGACCACAGACCAGACCATGTCTATTCTACCTGAAGGCAGTGATTTACCTGTAAGACAGAATTCCCAAGTACACAGAAAGCAAGAAGCAGAAAATTTTTCTATTGAAAATCCAGTCACAGAATTTATGTGAGTCTTACAATTTCATAACATCTCAGTTTTCCTCATGTGATTGTTATCAAATCATGATTTCATCACAAACCTATAATATTTTGAATTAAAAGTGCCTGCTTCTGGAGACAGGTAATAGAAAAACAAACAAAATAAAAGAAATTGCTGAACTTCTCTTATAAAAGAGTTTCTAAGTTTTCTTTTTTGTAGAGAAGCAGTTGAAAAAATTATTCCAGTGAACCCCAAATGCTCAAATACCAACAGTCAAAGATAAAATTATTAATGTATTTTGAAGTCAGTCTCATGACTTGTAAACAGTTGAAAATGTCAATACCAGAAAACCTTCTTGCCTAATTAGCATACTGGAATGATTAAATACTCAAAAACAGTTTAAATGGTTTTAAGTGCAACATAAATGTTAAGACATTATTAGCTAACTACTGCTGCTTTCTTATACAAAATGTTTACTCATACAGAGCTTCTCAATACAAAGCCAAACAGCTTCCACCCTGAATCAAAATTTTTAACGCTGTTTTCAGAAGTGCTTGAAACTATCACAGAACCTAATATCGTGTTTTACTTATGTGTTCTCTTCTTTCTCAGGTATCAAACCTGCTCAAACAATGGGCTGGTGGCTGGTTTCCAGAGTCAGTATTTTCCATCTGTTCTTGACCGTGAATGGCAATTCTACTGCTGCCGCTATAGCCGGAGATGTCCGTATTCATGCTGGTGAGTTCGAGCAGAAACCAAACCTGCTAGCCTCTTTCCCCAGCAGTCCCTATAAATGCCTTCGGCCACTTGGCCCATCAAAAAACTTGTCTGAGAAAAAGTTAACTGTGTTTTGTGGGGCTAATCAAGTTATTTCCAGTCTGGTAACAGGATTCTTGAGGATCCGTGGCTAAGGGAAGAAAATGAGGGCACAGTTAGGCTGACCAGCACAACACAGTAGCTAGCCCAAAATGAACAGGTCTAGGTACCAGCAGCTGCCTGGCTATGCTGGAAACCACAACGGAAGTCTCCAAAGTGGAATGACATCTCAAAGGTGGTGATATAGCTCTCACTATAAACCCAGCACATTTACAGGAGGAGCAGCTCTGCACTATGCAATTGTGCCACCATGACTTACAGGAGTGAACTTACTGCCAGTTATCTCAGAAAAATATCCTCTAGCTGACTACTTCGGATTTTTGTATTTGTAGTGTATACAGCTTGCTCCCATTCTCAAGGCTGTTTGAAGATCAAAGTCAAAATGAGCTATTGATCATAGACGAAACCTAAAGAAAAGGTGGCCTCACCACAACACAGTATCACAACTGATGCTGGCAACCTCACAGAGGCTATGGAAAAGTGAGCTATACATCCCAAGCTTCCCTGTGTCCCCCAGGTGTGGTTTCTGTAAATTGAGATGGAAGCACAGTAGCGGGCTGTGTAGAGAAAGCTCATATTGCTCCTGTCCATTCTGTGTAACAGAACTCATGGTTTCACACTCCAGGGTTATCAGTCTAACTATTCTCACTGATACAACAAATCACCCGTCTGCACTTCAAAAAAAAAAAAAAAAAAAAGAAAATAGAGGGGGAAAAATCTGCTTGAATCTTTGTTTCCAGAACTCAGCTTTGAAGTAAACTTCCCACTGAGATGCATACAAACTCTTCACATGCCCGATGGTCTTACTTGTCTGGCTGGCTATCGGCCAAGCACAACGGTAGTGCCTTACTTTGCATCCGTCAGTCTCCTTGCAGCCAGGAGGAAAAGAAACGGGGTTTTATTATTATTTTAAAACATTTTAAATGACAGGAACTCTGTAGCAAAGTCTATGAACATTCTTCTGCCCCCTTTCCAGCCTACACGGCCTACAGATGTTCTCTGCCTGGGGGTTTATTTACATACCTGCCCAGGCTCTTCCCTCTGAGGGAAGCTCGCTCTAATTTTTAAGCAGTTCTTCCAATCTGTCTTACTCCTCTAATCTTGCATGTATTTTCAGAAAGGCAACAGAAATCTTCCCTGACCTCTTTTGCTGTTGACAGTTCTGCTTCCCTCACATGTCGTCTTGACAACTGGGAACAGCTTTGTCTCTGCCTTGCAAATTGGCATTCAGAGCAATGCAAATCCTAATGTAAATGTTTGGGGTTACTGATGCCTTGCATTTCCATCCCAGCTGCGCACAGACTCCTGTACTGCCCTTCTCTTTCCAACGATGACAACACTTCATTTTTTATGCTTGGAAAAGAATGCCTTATGCAGTTCAGCTGCTACTGTCTTTCCACGCAGAAAAGGCAGCATTTCAAAGAAAGGAGAAGCATTTCTGCTTCTAAGCAGGGTAGAAAACGCACGTGCTCACACTCTTACGTGAGAGGAGAGCTGTAAAACCTCTGGGAAGACCTGTCACCTGGCTTATGAAAAGCCTCTGGTGCGTAGTTTGTGATTATGGGTTCACTATAAAACCAATGTGTACTCTGTATTACCAGGCTCAGTCACTCCATCTGGAGCCCAGTTTCTTCTGTTCAAGCTACTGGCCTATCCACACTTCCATAACCACTCTCAGCCTGGACAGTCTCTCGTACTTCTACCTGAGAGCCTTGTTTGACCCTACTCTTGGAAGTGGCTCCTTACAATGTATTTCTTTCAATTTCTTTCAAGCTCATTCTGCCTTGGGAGTCAGCAAGGTAGATACAAGCTCTATCTACATACAGTTATCCAAATTAGTATGCTATGGTCTGGATGGACAGACAACTAGATGGGTGAAAATCTGGTGGTTTAACAGGCTCAGAGGGTAGTGGTTACAGGGCGATACCCTTCCCGAGTGCCCATTATGAGCAGAACGCTGGAACTAATGGTCCACCCTGGGACCTGTCCTGCTTAACATCTTTATCAACTACTTTGAGGAGGCAACAGAGCACACTCTCGCCAAGTTGGCATCTGACACCAAACTGGGGGGATCCACTGATACGCTTGAGGACAGGACTGCTGTTCAGAGGATTATAAAGAAAACCTTTTCCGCTACAAGCACAGTGAGGACATACAGCAGGTTGACTGGTGAGGCTGTGTAGGCTCCATCCTTGGAGGTTTTCAAGGCTCAACTGAAGAAAGCCCTAAGCAGTCTGGTCTTACCTCATGGCTGACCCTGCTTTGAGCAGGAGGCTGTACCAGAAACCTCTTGAGGTCCCTTTCCACCAGAGTTACCCTACAATCCCAAATAGGAGGACTCCTCTGCTGCAGGGCCCACACCATGCAGCTGAACTATCTCTCTTCTCCAAAACAGTGGTCTCCTGCCTATTGTCTGATGGGAATGGTTTGTCTTCTGTTTTATTCCCTTTACCCTGCTTAGACAGTGTCTGGGAGAGTGCTAGTTGTTACCCTAAGGTATAAAGGACATGAACTGCAATGTGGTAGTGCAAAACCCCATACCTTGGACCCACTTTTACTACTACATATGTGACTTCTCTGAGTTGTTAAACTTGAGTGTACAGCCACTAAACTTCCCATTCCCCTAAGCCCAAGAGGTCTCACCCACAACTTTACTTCCATTGGTATTAGCAAGTTACTGTCACAAAACCTCGTTCACAAATCATACTTCTGGTCTGTGTCTTGTACTTTGCTTAAGATGCATTTGACAGAGAAATTGTGTTTTCCAATCAATCTGCAAAGCAGTTCTGGGCTACCAAGGGTAGGCCCTTGAAGTGTATATGCATATAAGACACAACAAAAATGTGTGTGCATATACAGTATCATTACTTATTACAGTTTCTGCCACAACCTAAAATGGTATTTATTCTGTTTCAGAAAGTAGGTGTCATTAAATTCTCTGTGGAGAAATGGTTGTTAACTGACTCCTATTTCTTTGTTGAAGCAGCTTAATTTCATGCAAAGGTGTCTATTGGTATATGACTATGTGGAAAAGTAATACCAGGAAAATATTTAGTGACTGTGGTGCCTTATGGATCATGCATGACACATAGGAAAATCTATATTCAAAGACAATCCATATTGCAGAATTTCTCAGCAGCCTTGAATTTTAATGCGCAATGAATCCTTCATTATGAAACCAAATATGGGCTGAAAGGCATTTTTAAGAAAACTAGCAATAATGAGGCATAACAAAACTCTATGTTTTAAATTCGCTGTCACCTTGGGTATTTGATCCCTTCCTCTTCCAGTCGTCTCTCTACAGGACTCTCTGGCAAATATAAAAGCAGTAAGACAGCTGATCCTTCTGCATGGTTTCTCCAGGCTCTTCTTCTTCAGTACTACATTCCTCCTGAAGTGAGCTGGTTTTTCCTACAATGAACAAAGACAGGTTTGCCCCATGTACATAAGCCACACAAATGATTTGTTAGAATTTTACCTGTTTCTAACAGCTGGAACATTCCTGGGCTTTTTGAGTCCTGCTAATACTTACTGGAATACTTATTTATGACACCATCATGCTGACTGAAATTCACACTTAAACACTTTGCTTAACTTAAGAACATACTCAAAGCCAAACACATGCTTAAGGACTTCACTTGGTAGCATCCATATCCTTTCTCTTAGAGCCCAGCAGTTCTGTTTCACAACTCACCTTCTTACCATTAATTCCCAGTTTACCTGCACAGTGAGCCCTCGCTACAAATAAATATACTAATGTTTTCCAGTCTTACAGTTTTGCACTTGCTATTTTTAATTTTTTTTACAAATACTTTGTTTCCTTCCTCCCCATGCCAAGTATTGTCATGGATTCTGCACATTTTTACCATACTGAAAATAATTAACATTCCTCACAGGAGGCAGAAAAGGTCCCATTATTTTACCTGGCTAGGGAATGCTACCACAGTAAAATATACTGTGTGCTGAATTGAACCATAAACGAAGAAAATCCATCACAGATGTAGAGACAGGACTATTAAGTCATCCCATTAGAGCTCAGATTTTTCTCTTTGCCAGGAAATTGAAAGCTTGACTCCATATTCTCAAAAGCAAACACATGTCAAAGAGCAGCCTCAAGCCTGCACAGACTGTTTATGACTGTTTCCCCTCTCCAAACAACCAACAGTCCAAGTGCCAGAAGGTCTGTCTGGAGCTGTGACTGCTCTCTGTCATGGTGACATTGTCCAGGCAACAACTACATTTTCCAAGAGTTATGAGACTTAAAGAACTTGTTTGTTTTCTTGAGTCAACCTGCCACCAAAGCCATATTGCAACTGACAAGATGCAGGTTTCTCAGAGATTACCAACAGCAGAGATATAAACCCAGGAGGTGAACTCAGAATAGATGTGGTGGAAACATGCACTTCTGGGCAGCTCAGTTCTCCTCCTCTCCTTTTTTTTTAAAAAAAAAATATTTAACTGTTTTTTTTTATATCCCAGCAAACACAACCTTACAGTTCAATCTCCAGGACCATCTTCCAGAGACATCTTAGGAGAAACACATTTGCTTAACATTGGAAAGCTGGCTAATGTTATTTCAGACACGTCTTTCTTGAGGAACAGGCATAAGGTGTGCTGAGCTCTGCTGCTCTTTTTATCTGCATTCCACTAGCGCATGTAGGCCTCCAAGAAGAACTGTGGTCCCACTGTGCTGGCCTCATGGCTCCTCAGCCCTGTGAGAGTTTGTGGTTTTCACTACAACTGAGGGGAAACAGAAGGGCAATGATGTGTCTAGGTGAATCTATGACCTCAGAGCCTGGAGCCTGAACTCATCCCAAAACACATGTGATGTGGACATATGAGAGAACCGCTCAGCTCTAGAG